CCACTGACTGATCCTCCTCATGGCCCTCTTCTCCCGTCTCTCTCCAGTCTCTGGTAACCACAGCTCTGTTTTCCACCTGTAGGAGAACAGCTTCTGTGGGTTTCATACATGTCTGAGAACTTGTCTTATTGGCTCCCTGTCTGGCTTAACATAATGTTAACATAATGTCCTCCAGTTCCATTGTTGTTGTTGCAAGTGATAAGATTCCATTCATTCCCTGTAAGGCTGTGTAGTCGTCCATCGTGTGTGTCTACTATGCGTTTTTTATCCATTCATCCATGGTAGACTCTTAGGTTGATGCCATGTCTTGGTTACTGTGAATAATTCTGTAATAAGCAGAAGTATGGCTAGCTCCTTGACATACTGATTTTATTTCCTTCAGGTATCTAATCTATCCAGCTGCATCCTGTGCAAATTATTATTATTATTATTTTTTTTTAGCTTTCTGAGTAACTCCAGTAACTCTACTGCTGGTTTTCTATACCAGCACACCAGCAGTGTGTGAGCTGTCTTTTTTTTTTTTTGCTGTGCCCTTACCAACCCCTGGTGTCTTTTAGTTTTGCTGCCAGCTATGCTAATTTCAACCCAAACTTATTCCAGGGTCCTTTGCCTGGTGAGAGGAGGTAGTAACTTAAACCTGGGCTTTACTCCGTAGTTTTCAGAATTTCATAAAAGACTCTGGGTCCAGGCACGGTTAAGGATGGCATTGACTTACTCAGGGATTGGGGCTGTCCGCCCTGCATGACGTCACTTTGCTCTGGGGTCTCGGAGAGCCACTTTGTCTCTTGGGGGGGGTCTCACTTATCCAATCTGTCAAGTGAAGTATTTGAACGAAGCTGTCTCCCTAAAGTTGCTTTCCACACTACCCAAATCTGAGATTGTATCAGTGAACCAATCAGTGGATTATCCACAATGCTTTGCAAAGTCCACATTGTCTTCACACCTATGAGAAACTTCCTGATTTTAAACAATTACTCAGCCAGCATTTGTCAGAAGAGCAAGGGCACACGAGTGTGAGCCTGTGCAATACTTAATTTGGAAGGTTAAAAAAAAATCACTTTGAAATGTAGGAATAGATGCAAAAGTGAGCGCTGAATCACTTCCTGCTCCTGTGTTCTGACTTTTCCACCCCCGCTCCCCGCTTCCTCAAGGATGACAGAGAACTTGTTCAGGCAACAAATACTAAACATGTCTCTGTCCAAGACTGTTCTGCTGGGTGGTGCCAGCAAACAGAGATGCTCAAAGCACAGGCCAGATCCTGGGATCTGGGGCACAGAACAAATCCAATGAGCTGGATAAGGGCCCACCCAGAGGGAGCTGTGCGGGCTTGAGAGACGGAGGTGCATGTTTAGTGAGAACAGCTTTGGGAAGCAGGAGAATCCAAAATAACACCTGCTTGCTAGCTCCTGGGTTGGCGTGGTGGCTCTGTTGTCCCCTGTGACTCTTGCCTGGTTCGGTGGCACCATTGCCAGTTCGCCAAACCGAGCAACAGAGAACTCATGTTTGTGGGGCCACTGGACCAGTGAGGGGAAGAGCCAAGGTCCAGACTCAGATCTGGTTCCCAGTTCTGCATTTTTCTATCATAAACATGGACTCTAGCCAAAGGAGGAAGATGTCTGGGAGAAAGGGGCCCTGAGGTGGGTCATGGCATTGCCACAGACAGTCATAGAGTCCCCTCAAGGGGGAGGGAGATGATGGTACAAGGTAGGTTCCTCAGAGCTGATCAGGCCAACTCTAACTTTTTTTCTTTTCTAAAGTTATGGTGATATTTGCATAACATGAAGTTGGCCACTCACTGGTATTCAGAACATTATCAGTGTGGAAGGACCCTATCTTCCACTCCCAAATATTCCCACCATACCCAAGGGAGATGCTGTTTACCTTATGCAGTGCTTCTCTCTCCCCATGTTCACCATCCCCCGGCAGCCACCACTCTGTTCTGTCTATGGATTTCTGTATTCTCGGTATTTCATAAATATGAAGTCAAGTCTCTAATTGGGCGTCATCTCTCCCCTTTAACTGTCTGCTCACTCCCTCACAAGGATCCTTGGCATGATGCTTGTCCCTCCCGTGTTCAAGATCCACTACCCCTTCAGTGTCCTTAATTCAGTCACACCTGCAGGAGTTCTTTTACCACCGAAGACCCATGGAGCAGTCACAAATTTTGACCTTTAGCACATGGTCATGTTGTTTACTACACATAGTCTCGAAATAACTTTTTTGAGGGCCCCACCTCCATTCAGAAACCCAGTGCCATGTACAGATTGCTTTTATGCCATTGGGACTGAGATGCAGAGGGATGGAGGGGAGTTGTGGCACATGTTAGCATCTGTTGAAAACGAGAGGCGTGCTGTGACTGAGGAAGTAGTTAAAGTAATGCTGACAAAGTTGCTGCATCTCCTCACCCCAAGGGAGCACTCAGACAGGGTTCTGAGGGTCAGACGAGTGGCTCTCCTGGCTCTTATGGCTTCGGAATTGTCGGATGTGAGACTGTGTGGAAGGATCTGAAACAGACAAGGAGACAGGTTACTGGTTGGGTCAGGTTTACAGAGAGGACAGCCCTTTGCTCTGTGTCGCTGTGCAGGCCCTCTTAGAGGTGAGCTCTCAAGGTGTGTCGCTGTGCAGGCCCTCTTAGAGGTGAGCTCTCAAGGGCTGTTGGATGCTAAAGCTTGCGAGGTGAGTTTTAGAACAGGGATGGATAGAGATGGGGAGCCCTTGGGCCCTTTTGTGGTCTTCCTGACTGCCTGGCTCATGGTGTTGAACTGGTCAGCCTCTGCATCCATCTGGTTGAGAGGACACATGTTCCTTCTTTTGTGTGTTTCAGAGGCAGGTGCAGATGTCCATGGTTGGCACTAAGACTTTTGCTGAGAGAAACCTGGTCCAGAGCAAGTGGTTCTGTGTGCATGACGGCTGGCGGGAGGGAGCTCACGGATCCGTGCATAGATTTGTTCTTTATTGCTGCTGTCGTGATGCCTGGTTCTGTCACTCCGAATGTTATTTTGGAAATGGGTGATGCAGGTGTTTTTTTAAGGCAAGGCATAATTAAGTAAATTTTAGAAATCCATTCAACATTTTATACGTCGGCAATGACTGTTAACGATGAGTGGTGGGTGGCCTCTAGCCACAAAGATGTCATGGCATGTATGAGGGTGATTGGTTAATTCAGTTAACAGTGGAGAACAGTTTGTCAAAGCGACCTGGCTGACATCTGAGGCCAGCCTCGTTTTCCTCTTCTCGTCATTTACTGTACCCTTGCTTGATCTGTTTCCTGGAGCTATTCAAATAAATACTTGAGCCTGTGGGGGACATTTCTCATTCAGACTATCCCAGAAACATGTTACCTTTATATTTGAGATTCTTTTCTTTTCTTTTTGATGTGTATGTGTGTGTTTGTGTGTGTGGATATTCACATGCATGCATGTACACGCACATGTAGAGGCCAGAGGTCACCTCTGGTGTCATTCCTCAGTTGCCACCCACCTTGTTTCTTGAGATGGGGTCTCTCACTGAATTTGGAGCTGGCCAGTTTGGCTAGGCTACCTGGCCAGCAACCCATATCTCTCTACTGCCTCGACTGCCAGGGATGCAAGTGTGTACTGCCATCCTCAGCTTTGGATTCCAGGGGACTGAACTCAGGTCTTCATGCTTGCCTGGCAAGCACTTCACCAACTGAGCCATGTCCCCACCTTGAGATTCTGTTTCTTTCCCTACAAATGGCAGCAGAAACCAACATCTGCCTCCTGGGATAAAACAAGATATCAAATACAAACTTTGGTCCCTGGAAATGGCTGGTGATCAATAAACATTAGCTCCTCTCTTCATTTTTAGAGGAAATTGAAGAAGCTAATCTGATGTTAACATACTGACATCTTCAAACATTTTGAAGGTTGTCACACAGCATACACGGGACGGTTCTTGTGTGTGTTGGGGGGGGAGCGAGAGCTGATAGGTGAACATGGAAGGGAGACAGATTTCAGTTCAACCTCAGGAAGAACTCAGTAACAATCAGAGCTGTGTTCTAATGCAGTGGACCTCATGAGGTAATGAGCAATTTGTCCCGGAAGTGTTTGATTAGAACAAGAGCTCGCAGTAGCGTTATTACTAACATCTGGGGCTGGGTGATTTTTGTTGTTGTTGTTGTTGGACTATGCTGTGCATTGTAGGATGTTTTATCACTAGATGCCTCTAGCAACCTCCTCCCCCACCCCCACCCAGTGACAACTGAAAGTGTCTCTTGACATTGTCCCATGGAGGGCAAAATCACCCCTGGATGAGCACTCCAGAGTCAGAGGCCAGATGACAGCAAACCAGACTCCGTTCTCACAGGTCAGCTCTGTCCTGCCCCAAATGAGGTCTGTTGATATTTATTTCTATGATTTTATTAGCATATATTATACACAATAGTGGGTTTCATCATGATACTTTGTGCATGCATATAATGCATTTTGATTATTGTCACCCGTTGCCTCTCTGTGCCCTTCTCATTCCCTTGAACCCCTTCCTCTTCCTGACTAGTCCCTTTGTCCTTTCATTTCCTGAGAATTCTAGTTTTTTCATGAGTATGTGCCCATTTGTATATGTACCACGTGTGCCTGTGGAGGCCAGCAGATTCCTCGGAACTGGGGTTATTGGTGGTTGCAATGTGCCCCATGTGAGGGCTGGGACCAAACTCAGACCCTCTGCTCTTACCACCGAGCCGTCTTTCCGGCCCCTTTTCATGTCTTTGTTGTTGCTGTCGACTCAGCCGGTTTCATTAGGGTTGCTGAAAGGAGCGTGGTGGACAACCTCCCAGGGGCTATACCTTTGCCAAATTGAGTTCTCGAAATGGGAATCCTGGGAGGAACCTTTGTTCTGGGGGTGGTCTTTTGGTTGGGATAGTACTACCACCTAGGATTAAAGGCCTGGGAAGTTGGAGGGCTTCTTTTAGGCCATAGAGAGTACCCCCCCCACCCCGGCCTTGGCATGTTGGTTTAATGGTGCATGCTCTCTGTGGTTTACAGGTCATGTTAGCTGCTTCCTACTGGTCTCTGCTGGCACCCGCGGTTGAGATGGCCACGTCCTCAGGGGGCTTCGGTGCCTTGGCCTTCCTCCCAGTGGCTGTGGGCTTCACTCTTGGAGCAGCTTTTGTGTACGTGGCTGACCTCCTGATGCCTCACCTGGTGAGTACTCAGTGTCTCTGGGGTGCTGGGCCAGGAGCATCCAGCTCTGGGCAGTAGATTCTTTCCTGTTCAGTGGTGGAGTCTAAACAGATGAGGCACTGGAAGAAGTGAGTGACCCCACCTTCCACAGAGAAAACACTCATTTGGTAATATGACCATTACCCCAGGTGATTAGTTCAGATTCGAATGTCAGATTTCATTAAATATATAAGTTGTGGCTGATGTGCTGTGTGCCACTGTCTGAACCTATATAAGCAGCCTTGCTGGGGATTTGAACCAGCAACCCCTGGGCAGTGATGATTGGGGATGAGTAAGCACGCTGTTCACCAGCCCACGCGGCCCCCGATACCCGGGGACACTCAGACGCACAATGGGGAGTCTAGTCAAGCAGGGACTCATTTATTGCAGGTCTTACAAAGCTTATAAAGGCACCTGGAAATCCCCCCTCCCCCCCTGAGGGTGTATCTTAAGGATGGTCATGTGCTGATCACACACTCCTCAGCAGTGCAGAAGTATTCTTCAGACTTTCAAAGCAAGCCAGGCCGCCCCCCAGTAACTTCCTTTGGAACCTATGCAAGGTGGGGCCTTTAGGTCCCCACACAGCCTGGGGGAAGGGAATGGCTACCGTTGTGATCCTGACCCTCGGTGAGCTGATCACATCAGGGAGATGACAATACAGAAGCCGACAATACAGAAGCCGTTTTATTAGTACACATCCATACTGACCAACAGGAGGTGAGGGCAGGGTACTGAGAGGTTGGAACTTGCCTCTGCCTTTTGCTTAGTCAGCTGTGTCTCAGCTCTGTTTCCTCCTTCCCATCTGAGGACTATAATATATGATAAATAAAGAAACAAAATTAAAAATGTTTTTGAAAATTAAAAAATGCATCAATGTTGTGGGTAGTACTGGATGGCTTCAGTTGTCAACTTGACACACCTGGGAGGAGGGAACCTCACCTGGGGAATTTCCTCTATAGGACTGACCTGTGGGCATGTCTGGGAGGCATTTTCTTGATTGTTGAGTGATGTGGCAGGGCTGCGGGGAGGGCCCAGCCCGCTGTGGGTGATGTCACCCCAGGGCAGGTGGTCCTGAGTTGTATTAGAAAGCAGGCTGAGTAGGGCCAGAGGAGCAAGCCAGTAAGCAGAATTCCTCCATAGTCTGTGCTTCAGGTCTGCCTCCAGGTTCTTCTCTTGAGTTCCTGCCCTGGCTTCTCTTAACTATGAACTGTATCTTGTAAGTGGAAATAAACCCTTTCCTCCGAAGATACTTTTGGTCAGTGTTTTATCACAGCAACAGAGAAGCAAAGTAGGATGGAGGGAACTACCAATTGTAGGTTTTTGTGTGGCAGTCAGACTGCTGGTTTGGTCTTGGGATGAGCACCACTTGTTCTGAGAGAAGCCTGTTGTGAACAGCAGCCTGAAGGATGTGATGGCCAAGCAGAGGGCCAAGGCCAGGTCATGTGATGGCAGCCACAGGCCATTGACTAACACAGTGAATGCTGTTGGCAGGGGACAGGGGTTGATGGCACTAACAGGATAGGGCAGGTTATGTCCTTTTACCACACGCTATACCCCAGGAAATCCTAGAGGGGGGGCAGAAGTACCCCTAAGTTGGTGCCTGGATTCCCTGCCCACCAAAAAGGGGAGACACATGGGACGAGAACATGGTTGAGGACTGTTTCTTCTGTTGGATCGTGGAGTGTTAGGAGCCATGAGATGTGTGCTCCAGGGTGAAGCATCCTCCTGGCTTTTATCTCTCCTCTCTTCCCTTCTCCTTTCCTCTTTTTTTAAAAAAAAAAATATATATATATATTTTGGTCTTTTTGAGACAGGTTCTCCCTGTAGCCCCAGCTGTCCGGGAACTCACTATGTAGACCTGGCCAGCCTTGAACTCACAGAGATCCGCCTGCCTCTGCCTCCCAAGTGCTGGGATTAAAGTCGTGGGCCACCACGCCCAGCTTTAAAAAATACTTTTAAATATTTTATTTATTATATTTTACATGTATGGGTGTTTTGCCTGCATGTATATAAATGTACCACTTGAGTGCCTGATGCCTGCACAGGCCAGAAGAGGGTGTTGGATTCCTGGAACTGGAGTTAAGGACGGCTGTTAGCTGCTTTGTGGGTGCTGGGAAATGAACTTAGGGGCTCTGGAAGAGCAGTAGGTGCTCTTAACCACTGAGCCATCTCACCAGCATCTCCTTTTCTCTTGTTGAGTTATGGTCTCTCTATGTTACACAGGTTGGTCTTGAACTCATGATCCTCCTGCCTCCCACTCCTGAATGCTGGAATTTCAGACTTGTGCTGGACCCCTGCCTCCTTTCTTGTCTTAAATTCCCAACCAAAGGAAGAGAAAGAGGGTCTCCCAGGCACTTGACTCCGGGGCTGTGGGGCTGATGTAAGGCTTATCGCTTGCAGGGCAGATGCACGTATCCTGGACCTGACAGTTGGATATGGTGGTTGGATGGACGGCTGTGATTGTATCCTAAGGAAATGCCATCTGTCATCTGTTTTCTTTCCACTGAAAGCCCGAGTGGCAGTGTGTTTCTGTCCCCAGTCATTTGCTTTCCTTGCTGTGAGATGTAGCTTCTCTGGTGGCTTCCAAAGGTGGTCACAGGGAGCAGGCTATGTATTCTGCTCCTGACTCACCTAGCTGTGTGTGAATGCTCTGTCGGAGGATTTCCTACTTGAACTAGCAGGAGGATCATGACACCAGTGACCTAGACTCCTAAATGGAGGATGTGTGTGGCTCTGCTCCATGGCTCCCTATAACCTGCATTTGGGTCTCATTCTGCCTGCTCACTGGGGACCACCCAGGCTCCTAAGTCAGCCTTTCCCAGTCATGATAGGCCCTTCTGACTGGGACCTGGGTAGGGATGGGAATGACAGAGGCATGAGGCTTGGTGTCAGATGTGTTTGACCAGCTGTCTGAACAGAGGGGCTTTCTCTGGGCAGTGTAAATAGTCATTGACCAATATGTATTGTGCAGCATACTTTTTTTTTCTTTTATTAACCTTTGGTTCATGTTTGTTCTAATATGTGCTTTGAATACAGAGGCACTGACGGGGTGAGCCTGGACAGCGGAGTAGAGGCAGAATGTTGCGGGTGGGGAAGGGAGAGGGCTGAGGAAGAGGCGTCATTACCATTATTGCGCAGACTTCACTAGCTGGCAGAAGCATCAGTAAACATCTGTTCTGGGACATTTGAGAAGAAATTAATTGTCGCTGTTAATGTGAGAAGGGGGACGTCTCATAGACAAGCTTTGTTTCTAATTGTTGCAGCCGCTGAATACAAATGTGGGCTGAGTGGTGCCCAGAGCAGCTTACCAACCTTCACACAGAGGCTGGCTGAAGGTTTCACTGTTGATTTGCTTCCCAGACCTGAAAAGGGTGGTAGCTTGGCTCTTCCCAGGTACTGTGTGGAGTGTGAATTGATGGAGTTTGATGAGGCATCCCTGAGGCTATCCAGCAAGGATTGAGAACCCACAGGGACCACTCCGAGGGGAGGGGGGGCACATTGTTTTTGGCACGTTTGCTGCCCCTGGATTCTTTGAGCTAGCTGCTTTTGACGATGTGGAAAGTTTCTGGGGAGGGGTTCGGCTTGAGATCTCTTTAGCTTCCAGTTCATCCAGTCTTAACCTCAGCTCATCGAAGCTGGTAGCCCCAGGTGCTGGAGGAGGAGGAAGCTGGAAAGCTCTGGCTGCTGCTCACATGGGGTGGAGAATCCCAGGGCTCCTTTCTGTTCCGTGGGCGCCACTTTGAATTTGATGGGGTGAAAGGAAATGCCGGTGGTGTAACTCCCATCATCCTTGTGCCCTCCGCTCTGCGGTCTCCCCGTCAGTTTGCTCCATGCTTTCGCATGTCTACATGTGTATGTCTAAGAATAGAAGTTTGTTTTGCATTTTCTGAAAAAAACAAACGGTAACACGTCTGTGTTGGTGCTGCCTGTTCTCCCGTCTTGGCATCTATCTTAGGGAGGCTGCATAAGAGGCTGGAAGGGGAAGGAGAGGTAGTGGGGGCCTATGGCTGTCTGGGGTGCTCTCCTGTGTGAGACAACTTGGCCTGTAATACTTCCTGGGCAGGCTGGGGGAGGGCAGGAGAGGTTAGCTCCCTCTTTAGTTTATCTGAGTCCCCAGTCATGTTCAGTGTCTGTCAGGTCTCACTGACTAGCAAAGTGGCTTTAGTAAGAACCCGACTGAAGCGGTAACGTGCACCCTTTTTCATAGGCGCCTGGTTTGTGCTGGTGATTTGGCGGGCTGGAGATGCTTCCAGGAACCACATATGATCAGTGTCTGACATGACAGATGCTGCAAGAGGCAGCTTTTGTCCACCAAGGGGGTGTTTGCATATATTTCTCTCCTTTATAGATTTTCCTCATAGTTAACATTCTTGATTCTATTTCACTAAAGAATGAGAGAGAAAAGAGAGCTGTACTGGGCGACCCATGAGTCTGTGGGATAAGGCTGGGTGAGCCTTGTTGTTAGATGAGCTCCGGAACAGCAGTGGAAGGGAGAACAGTCCTCTGCACCAGACTTAGCGTCTTGCTCCTTCTTCCCTCCTGTTGAGGTTTGAGAGAGGCAGTTCTGCTGCGCTGCATGCTCGAGGTACACCTTGGGCTGCTCTGTCGCTGACATTTGACTGTGCTGGATGGATGCTCTACAGCAGGCATCCTTCCTGCAGGGGACGTAGTTGTCTCTCCAGAAGAGTCTGGTGTGTGGGGATGGAAAGGTTGGGGTTTTACAGCCAGACCCCTTGATTGACCGTCTGAGCATATGTATCACATTTTTTCAGGTTGACATAGATGGGTGATTAGAACAAAGATACTTACTGTTTTCCTTCCTTGGAGGCTGCACTTCCAAATACCCAGTGTCAGCAAGGCCGGTTAGTGCTGAGGTCTCTGTCTGTGACTGGCAGATAGCCTCCTTCCCTCTAGGTCCCCACACGGTCTTCCTGTGTGTAGGTAACCCTGATGTTTCTAGGTGCCCATTATTTCCTCGTAGA